GGAAGAAAATCAGCACTGTTTTTGGTTGGTTGGGCATGCTCTGACTAAAAGGACTAAATGATTCTACCAATTCTATATATTATATTAACGAAATGTATAATTTATTCATATTTAGACCGATTTTTTTTGAAATGGTAGCTTCAAAGTTGACAAATTCATGTTTGAAAAGCACAGCCAGACATTATACGTGGTCGAATAATTTTCGCGCACGCCAATGGCGCTGGATATTTACGGTGCAGCTGAAATGATATTTAAATATATTCGGAAGTGGACTGGCTTATTTACGTTTTCAACAGACCGAGTAGAGCTCATATGATACGGGAATTACCAAAAAAATTATAAAACCACTTTTATATCTTTTTTGCCGATTGATGTCGCAAATCGTATAAATTTTTGTGGCGCTTTTCGCAGTATTCATACTTTTATTTCGTTTCTATATTAGGGTAAGTTTGTGTTTCGTTGTGTCCTAGGAATATATACCAATGCAGTTTGAAAGACTTCCGTTTAAAATTTAAGTTTCAAAATTTTGTTAAAATCTAAGAGCTATTTTTTTACTTACTTTTTTTAGTCTCACTAGCCTTTAGCTATATCATTTGCAGTATATTAGTACCAAAAGCTTTAATGTAAAATAATTTTGTTTTTCACTCAAAAATGACAAAACACAAAATTCAAATTTAATTTTATTAAGTATTTATTAAGCTATAGTTTATATTTAAACTATAGCTTTTATTCTATAATAATTCCATAATTTATTATAGAAATATTATTATTTACATTTTATTCACCACTATAAACTATGTGTACTATTTCCTATATAGAGAACTTGTAACTAAACAAGTTTTTAAAGGATGCAATAAAATAAAATAATAAGAATATTATATGATTATGACAGACTAATAATACTAGGCTATACAAAGAACCAAAAGACCTAAATATCTCTAAGTTCAGTTCACTTCGGCAAATCAACAATCAACACAAATATAACGTATCAATAATTTTATCGAATCAAGTGCATAACTATGAGACTGGAATTATTAAACAATATGTATCAGATTAACACAAGAATTAATATAAGACTCGAAAATGGCATCAAGAGCTTTTAATGTTTTACCAAGGGGTGTAAAGTCTGCAAATAAATTGAGTTTCTTTGTTAAAAAACTGTTAAACTATATTCTTAGTATACAGATAGGTTAGTAACGTATTTTTGTATTTATACCTATACTGTGTTACTTAAATCAAATCAAAATTAAAAATCGGTCATTTTTAATTTTGGGTATACATTTTCAATTTTGAAATTGTCTGAGGTAAACTAAGTTTATTATTGTGTTCTTACAATTTGTCATTTCAAAATTTAAAACCCTAAAGTTGTGCCAAAGTTGAAGGGATCCAAATGGGTATCTTGGAAATTAATTTGTTTTGTTTATTGGATGCCCCAATTTTGAAATACTTCAACATTAAAATTGTATTATTTCTTTTTTTTTATTTTTAGATTTTTCTATATTATTTCTACTTTTTGTCTATTTATACTCAATGAAAAATCTAAATTTTTTCAATTTTGAGTTAATATCGCTTCAAATGGTCTCAGGTTAGAAAGTAATATACGTATTAGTTAGCAGTTCATCAGAACGAATTAGAAAAACAGGGAACACAAAATTCTAAAAGCAATTTATTCATATTACAATTAACTTCATTTAGAATCTCGGATAAATTAATTTAATTAAAGTTTATCCCATTTAACTGACTCTTAACTTTTTTTTGTTGTATTTTTTAAATCAGTTACCTCTTTGAATTGAAGTAAAATCAATTAAAGATTTGAAGACTTTCTTAAAGTATTCGGCCTAGTCCATTCACGTTTGTAGAAAACTGAAAAAGCAACAACTTTTTTCAGTAAAATATTTCAATATTTTTATTATTAATAATTAAATAATTAATTAAGTCAAATTGACAGTTAAATTCAAATGTTTAAAAACTACATACTATCACCAGGATCAAAATTCGCGAAAACCCTTTAAAAAAAATGTTTCCATTCGACGCCGACCTTAATGATGACACTGTATATAAAGGCAGTATAGTTCTATAGATATTGTTAGTTGTAAAAATTTGTTAACCACATATAAATATTTATATGTATACAAACGCTTACTTTCGAGGAGCGCAATAGTATTAAATCAAAACTGCAAATTTTTACCGATAGATCGCCTTAATTATTATTGAAAACAACCGATTACGATAACGTCAATGACATCTGACCATTACTAAATTGTAACATGAAATATGAATATAATGCGAGATACATTAAACTGCGTCATTGATTAAACTAATTTATGTAACAAATAGCTCAATCTGAAACAAATAAAAATTAAGATAAGCGTGTTTTTCGAGATGCTTTTGAGGTTAATCGACTTATTTGTATCAGTCTCTCGCAAAAATGGCGAAGGATATTTTCTTTATTTTCGAGATGATATGGTAAAGATTAGCTTTTTTATCCTTGATGTAGATGTCCGTTAACGATGCCATTGTATGGTTATTTTCTGTTGTGAGTTTCAGATAAAACTAGGTTGTCGTTTATGGATGAACTATTTGGCTCCCGTTGTGGCCAAAAAGACAATTATGAAAAATCACGCAGAAATATTAAAACCGTAATTGTGTTTAATGAGACCCTCATCCTGTAGGTAATTTTTTAAAAAATTGCTCCTACCTTGAAAAATCGCTGGTCGACGCACCAACTTTATTAAATTCATACAGGCATGTGGTGTTAAAAAAAAGCCTTCCGGTATTCATTATTCTGTGGAATTTTTTTCGAACGCTAGCATAAATGTTTCAATAATTTTACATTTTCACTACGTACTGTATTAGAATACGAAATGAAAATGCGCAGTTAACGAGCATTTGTCACCACGGGAGCGGCCATTTTATGAAGTACCTTAAGATATTTTTAAAATTTATTAGCAAGAACAAGTTTTCTTGAATTGAGCTTGACACAAACACTTAATCCGCAGATATTTTTTTTGGTATGTATGAAAAATGCTTTTCTCCTTGTTTAAATATTCATGCGTAAAGGCCAGTTAACAATATAGTTCCATAATTTACTTTTAACAATTACGATGCTGTGGAAGAAATATTATGATTTTGTATTTACAATTGCAAGTTTAAGTTCAAAAATAAACATGCTATAGAGTAATACAATGCAATTTTGTGCAATTTCAAAAAAGATAATAGGTAACAGTTATCTGAAACACCAAGTTTTTTATCAGAAAATTTGAACACTACACTATAAAACGTTATAGAAAACATTGTTTATTAAATATGGCAAAAAATATTTTGACATAGTATTGACAAAATAAAACCGATTTTTTTTTAAAATCATTGAAGAGTGCTGCAAAAAAGAACTAATTGAATGAAACAAATTTTACATTTCGTTGTGACGTAAGAGCAAAATTTTTGGAAATTTAGTTAATAAAAATATTTAAAAAGCTATAAAACAATGTCCTTGCAAGTAAGGAAATAAACGAGAATTTAGACTTGAAAAATATAAGATATGTTTAAACTATTATCAAGTGGCAATGTGCAAAAATCGAAAAAAATAAGCAATTTTATGAACCGAAAATTAAATTTGCCTATTATCAAATCACAGAAAATATTTTTTATTAAATATGGCCGGATATTGCATTTAAAATATGAAGTCGATCTTTTCAAACTTAAATGGCAAGGGGCAAAGAGGTACACTAAAATATCCTTCAAAATTTCTTATCTGAAATTTTACATATACTGCAAAAAAACTGCATTGAAACATTTTAAAACCATTTAAACCTAGTAAATGTGAAATAATTGGCAGTGATAGATCAAATTGCTCTTCACTTTTTCCGTACTAAAATTTATTTAAACAAATTTGACATTTGTTGAAACTGGAACAATAAAAATATTTAAATAGCTATAAAACAATATTCTTACAAGTGGCAATACGGAGAAAACGAAATAAATAAAAAATTCTAAAACAAATTGGTTAGTACAGTAATAAGTTAACACTTATGTCACTCGTAATCACTCTCATAAATTTTTCTGAAATTTTAAGCACAACACTTTTAAATGCTATAGAAAATATTTTTTTTAATAAACGCTGCAAGCTATATTTTCTGACATTGCATTCATAAAGGATGAGAGGGGCAAAAGAAATATTATCTCTAATTGTCGTATAGTACATATGAAATAAATCACCATTACAGATCGTATTGTACTTTACACTTTTTCTATACCAAAAAATTAAAATATTTAAATAACTGTAAGACGACATTCTTACAAATTAAGGAAAATATCATTCGTTCATTCAATTTCTGGAACGCACAGCCCCTACAGCATGCATATATTTAAATTGAAATTAAAAAAAAAAAAAAACAATACAATACTGCCGAAATACCTCCCAAAAAGGATTTTCCAAAAATCCGTTGTGATAGGTATTTTATTATGGATAGGACAGGCACATTTAAAGCAATAAGACCAGGCAGCGTTCAACAATCGACATGACCATTGACAGTCCTTCAGTTAGACATTTTTCATTTTTGATGTGGCACTTTTTCAGCAGTATATTGTCAACATATGGGCTCAGATCACATTACATTTTCAGGGACAAAGGAGTTAAGTGCGAGTATATCGCTGTTTAGAATGAAACTGGCACAAAGTGCAGGTTATAGTGCGTGAAATTTGAAGGCATGCACGGAAGATCTGCATCAAAAAGGCATAGCCACCTGAGGCGCAACAATAACACGATATTTACGAACCTTGTGTTGTCTAATAGCTTTATTGCCTTGAGTCCTACGATATAAGTCGATATATTTATCGATATAGCGTTAATAACCCCACTCGTTGTCTTGAATTAGCTCGTTAGTGTTGTTGAAAATTGACATTCGGTTGACAAGTACAGATCGGTCGAAGCTGTACCAATCCATACCCAAAATCTCATACTATTTAAATCACATTATCAATAATTGATTCGTCTATTTCAGAACTCGAGACAGCTTTAGAACCTCAGCAATATGTCGAAGGACGCACAATCGATGATATGGGACTACCTGGTATTTATAATATTCGTAATAGCGAGTACGTTTGTGGCCGTGTACTCGCGGTTCTGCGGGCCTAAGGAGAAAACCAAGGCCGACTATGTTTTCGCGGCGGGAAAAGTTTCAATGGCCGCCATGATGTTGAGTATAGCCAGAGGGACGTTAGGCGTAAGGTCGTTTTTGGGTAAGCGTAATTTCGTCAAATTAGGAAATAATGCTCCGAATGAGGCGAAGGGGAAAATTGCGTGGCGGTTAAGAGAGGGTGCTTTTGCGCGGACGACGCTTAAAGCTATATAATATGATTTTCCTTACGCAAGAATTGGCGATTCAATTTATATGACTTCAATTAATAATCATAAATGTAGCTTTGAAAAAAATTTTTCCTCCTCTGTCTAGCAGACTAATCTGGCAACTGAACATAAGAAAAACACTCTTCTTATAGTTTAATGTTATCTTAACGGGATCAGTTTTTTTATACCATCATTAATTACCACATAACATATAACAGCCCATTAAAGCAGGATACGGTAGAAGGCAAGCATAATTCTTTTGTAGAAATGAAAAGAGATCAATTTATCCCAGTTTGCTCCACCACAAAGCAAAGACTATCCGTGTGCCATTGAAGAAAACATTACTCTGTTAGTAACGGTAACGGTATTTCCCATTAAGCCTCCATTAAAGCAGGATATGCTGGAAAGAAAGAATAAAAAATGTAGTAGAAGTGAAAACAGATCAATGTATGCCTGTTTGCGACCATTGAAAAAACATTACTCTATTAGTAATGTTATCGCAGAATGATCACTTTAAAAAAATTAAAGATAAAACGAGGATATAGCCAAGAATTTTTTTAACATCAATCCGCTAAATTTGGAAATTTTTACCAAAAATTGTATCCATAAAATCCCGTATTTAGTTATAATTTGGGATAACATTGTAGGTAGAATAAAAAAACATACGGAAAACCATGACGGTGTGGTCCAAATTAGAAAAAATTAAACAGAAACTCTAAACTAAAAGTAAAACGGCTAGAGTAGATATACGAAAACTAAAGTCTGTACTAGGGCTCAATTCTCATAAAAAAAGGCAGCAACTGCATGGACATGCATACCTATTACCGTTTCATAAGCTGTTTTTCAAAAAAAATTCGCTGTAAATTTTTGGTCATGATTGATGATTTTCTCTGATTTATTATACAGGCTGTGCTACTATGTCGGCCTTTAAAGGCGTTTCAAAAAAAAAGTTCAAAGATACCTGTTACCTAAAGCTCTTGAATGTCGAACTACATCATATTAAAGTTTTCAGACAAAATATAATTTTTTATAACTTTAATACTACTTTATATTTTTAACGACTGCCGTGGTTTAAGCATTTTTGGAAAAAATGTAATGCATACATTCTTTATTCTTTTCCGCTGCTTTATCAAGTGTCATAACTTGCCTTACTAGATTTTCCATATTTCATAAATAAATAATGATAATGATAATATATAATAAATAATATTATATAATAAATAATGATAAAAAAGTGGGAAAAAATAATGATCATTTTTTTGCGGTCTTTACTTTTATCTTTCTGTCTCAGGATTGGTGGCGTTGGTGACTTATGGAATTTTTGATTATTTAACGGACTGATTATGCGTTAGATAACCTTCTTGAAAATTTTGTATATAACGTTTAATCCAGAAGTTATTGTATAAACTCCGCTTTTCCTACTCTTGTAAAACAACCTTTAGCGTCTTCAGTTCAGTTACAATTACTATTTTACAGGAACTAGTAACAACTTTCCTTGCTTTGTATGGTTCTTTGGCATATACCATATATCCATATACCATATATCCATCCATGAGTTGTTTAAAGGGCTGTATAAGTATGTCTCCCCCCAATAACATTCAGTTTGTATAAGCGAATAAATGCTGTTTATTATTACTCTTATTAATAGAATCGGATAATTGATGATTCTATTAATAAATCGTATATAAATAGACGCAGTCTACGGTTGTGGGCTATCGTAGATAAGAGTCAAAACTTTCTTGACAGGCGGTATAATCGAACACACCTCGCAGACACCGGTGTGTGCCGATTTCCACACCGCATGTGCGAGTGTCATTTACCATTCGCCGCATAAACAAATAGTACGTGTTTCCATTCATTATCTTGGCAAACTTACGCGTTGTGTGTTTATTTTGCAGATATGTAAGCGCATAATGCGTGACTACTATCACATAACGTTGTTTGTTTAGCCTCAAACCAAATTCGGAAGATAAAACCGATCATGTTTATTAGATGCTTTTTTCTTCGCATAAGCTCAGCCTACTCATCCAAGTTGTTTTGTTTATAGTTAAATTAGATAAGTCGTCTTCCATTGTTCTGTACCCGTAACTAAAAATCTTTAACGAGGTCTTCAGGGTATGAAAAAAAAAATAATTAAAACTATTTTATTGGAAACCCATTCAAATTCAAACTCAAAAAATAATTTTTTTTTCATGTATTAAAAAAATTGCTGATAATTTGAGAACTAACGAAGTATAACATATTAAGGAAGCTCACACAGTATTTAATCTTTTTATCACAATTTTATAAAATATATGATGCAGAACTTGTTTTCAGTTCTCAAGGAATTGACCTTTTTTTATCTCAATTTTTTCCAATTCAGTTTAAGAATAAATAATCCACTGAATATGGTACCACCATTGTCAAAACATACGCTGCTCAACTCAACTTCGTAAATACAAGGTTAGCATCGATTAAATCAACAAACTTTATCCAATTGAAGTAACTTATAACGTCACTTCTCTTTAATGATCTGAATCAGTTAAAAGTTACTAGAGTGGAAGTCGATAAACAACGGGGATATAAATTTGTTCGATATGATAATAGTTGCTTCCTAACTGACCTACAATAAAATATTCCACGCTGTGTGTGTGTTGACGATGCAATTCTTAACCAATTTGACCTTTCGTTGCCACGATCCAGTCCATCATAAGGCCATATAAAAATAGGTCTTTCTGCTTTAAATACCTCTATAACGATTTATTTAGTAACGAATAACTTTGTATTAAATTACTTCTTCTTTTCCAACCAGCCGCTGTAATTTTGCGAGTTTGCACAATCTTTTTCCAAAGACCCTCGTCTTGCACCTGCCTATGATAAGGAAATATCAAATCTGATTTCATACGAATTCGAATAAAAATACCATGCGAACTTATGCAGATGGTTTCACATGAAATTTAAGCTGTTTTCCATTTTTTAAAACTTATTATTCAAATTTGTTTCTTGTGTGCTAATAGGATCGTTAAACGCGCTAATTGAATCACTAAACGCTCAGATTTTAGTATTTAATGGTTCCTTTATTATCATCGTTGTTGAATGATATCGCCATATGTTTGCTAAACACGCTATTGGCCCATTTGTCAGTTCGTTATACCAAAATCTACATAGAACATGAATTCGGAAATAAATAACAACTTGAATAAAATACCATGCTTTGTTTTTAAAATAAAATATCCCAATCATTGGTTTGGTTCTTTCTGTATCTATTGTCTTTGCATTATTACTAAATATGGTTATATTTATAATCTTTGCATCAAATTTAAGTCACCACTAAAAGTTGCTGGATATGTAAATTGTTTAATTGTAGCTTCGATCTTTAGACAAGCTGTTGTTGTCACATTATGTGGGAATTTGCGTCACTACTTTAAGTGCCTAAGTCAATACCATCGTTTGTCAACATTTTTTTTTAATTGAGATTGGAGATTACAAATTTATTGAAAAGAGATGAATATGAAGACCACAGACTGGCCTCCACCCAGTGCAGATCTTAACCCCATAAAACATTTATAGGATCAAATGGAAAGTTTTGGTTAGAGATCATCAACACCCAGCTGTCTCCTTGGATGATGTAGGAAACGTCAAGGAAATATGAACTAATATTGATCCAACAAAAATTAAATGTCTGGTTTAAAGTATGAGTTGTCGATGTCAATCGGTTAGTGGGAAGAAACGTCTGATGTTGATTTTTTTTGTTTAATATTTATCCCACAGAACGTGAGAAACATCGACTATTAAACAGTTTTTTAAAACACTCTGTACATGCCTAAAAAACAAATTTAAATAAAAAAGTTTTTTGTAACATCGTTTCTGAAGATTTGTGCTGCAACTACAAAAGATATATCAACAGTTCGCGTTAATTGTGTTAAAGTGCATATTAGTATCAAAACATAAGTGATAGGTTTAGTTAAATTAAAAGTAGTCCTACCCTACATTTCACCCATAACTCACACATTTTAATATTGTGTTATTTTCAAGTTGATAATTTTTTTTATTATATTTACTATTACTGTTATTTATTTACAAATTTAACGTTGCCAACATTGACTAATAAAAAAAACTATGGAAAAATTTGAATATATATATATATATATATATATATATATATATATATATATATATATATATATATATATATATATATATATATATATATATATATATATATATATATATATATATATATATATATATATATATATGATGACACTATATTCCGGGATATCATCCGTTCGCTCGTTGAACTCCGACTGGAATCCTGCATCCGACTGGAATCCTGCAAATCTTGCATCCGACTGGAATCCTGCAGACGTTTCGCCAAAATCTCACTTGGCATCTTCAATGCTCGCGCTCCGAAAACACTTCGAACACTCGCGCGCGAGCATTGAAGATGCCAAGTGAGATTTTGGCGAAACGTCTGCAGGATTCCAGTCGGATGCAAGATTTGCAGGATTCCAGTCGGATGCAGGATTCCAGTCGGAGTTCAACGAGCGAACGGATGATATCCCGGAATATAGTGTCATCACATTTTTCCATCCGTGAATCAATACGTGAGATATATATATATATATATATATATATATATATATATATATATATATATATATATATATATATATATATATATATATATATATATATATATATATATATATATATATATATATATATATATATATATATATATACAATAATTGTATTTTTCTCCAGGTATTTCGTTACAGTTTTTGAAAAATGATTATCACATTATCACATATTTGCGCCCAAATAACGAAATTTATAAGATATTAATAAAACCTGATTTATTAAATATTGTAAAGTCTGATTAGTATTAGCTTCGTTTCGTTTTTCAGGTTACCCTTCGGAATTGTTCTACCGCGGCAGCGCTATGTGGGAAACACTATACGGGATGGTACTCGCATACCCGATAGTGTGCTACATTTTCGTGCCAGTATACTTCAGTTTGGGCATCACCTCCGTGTACCAATACCTGGACATGAGGTTTAAATCCAAATTGGTACGGTGTTTGGCTTCTGGCACCTACGTCATCAGACAACTGCTCAACCAATCCGTGACTGTATTTACTCCTTGCGTAGCGCTTAATACTGTGATAGGCATTCCTTATTGGCTGTCGATTTTCGGTATCACATTGGTCACCATCATTTTCAATATTTTGGTGAGTAATTTTATTTTTATCTCTTAAGTGAAGCTACTTTCGGCGCCATATACCGTTTTTGCGGAGAAGCACGTGGTCAGCGTTAACTCTCTCTTCCTCGTTTTAAAGAAAAACGTGAGTGATAAACGCCGGAAATAGTTTTTAATCTAAAATGTTCGGGCGAGTTAAGCGCGCCAAATGTTACAGTTTCGTCGTCTTATAGAAGTCTAATGAAAAATTATTGCTTCTCCCAAGGTTCTTTCCATTTAGATACGACGAGCAATTGGATAGCAAACTTTAAAACGGAACTGAAGAATGAGCGGTCTACCTCTTTTAATGCCTACCTATTTATCTTCTTGAGAACGTATAATGAAGAGCTCCGTGCATAAAGATCTGATTTTTAGGCACTTGCACTAAATCAATGCTATTAATGGAGAGTGGTGGATATGCTTCTTGAAATGACGCTGCAAAATATATACAAAATTATATACAGAACGTTTAAAAAATGTTTCCCTGATCTGCTCTCCAGAGAAATTTATTCTTCATTTCTCATTCCCCTTTGAATTTTTTCAAAGGTTTGTTTTGATTAAGTGAAGGCAAGTACGCGTTTATATGATAAACGATGCAATGAATCCTATGAATGTATATCGAAAATTAATTTTGGGTAGCTCTTGGTTATTTCTGTAAATTCTTGAGAAACCTATGATGGAATGTATATGCTAAACATTAAAAGGAGTCAGTTAATATAATGACAGCAAAGTCATAAAATCTTCAAGAGGTTCATTTTGATGTGGGAATCAAGCCAAAAACATATTAAACATATTAAAAATTTGCATTGCAAAGTCGCATTTGACAACTTGATAGCAGTTATCCATCTATCCAAGTTAAAATTTGCAATTGCAATGCTTAGTTGGTAACTGAGAAAGTAAAAAAAAATAACTTACATGGTGTCTCCAGGTAGAAAATGTAATAGCAGATGTTCATTTATCATGACAACTATTTTAACTTAACTTGACAAAATAAATAGATACCTACATGCATACACAAAACATTGAAAAGTCTTTTTTTGGATAATTAATTATTTCACTTAAACTCTAAATACATTTTTTCCGATTCCAGCAGTTCTAAAACTTGCATTTGGTGCAGTCTGAGACTTTGAAAGTTTCTTCTCGAACAGTTACTCGTTAATGGCAACCACATCATCTTTTTCACTTCTTCAAAACAGATGAAAAAATACTAGATCTCATGTAAATGCGTCATCTGAAATTTAACTCGTCAAAACAGAAAAAATGTATGAGCACTGTAGGTACCCCTTAAGTTTTCTGCCTGGTTAAACTAGTTATGAGGAAATTAATGAGTACAATAATTTTTCGAAAATTAAAGTAAATGATGCAAGAAAATTGTCAATTAGTCAATGAGATTATAGACATTATTTAAAGAAACTAATATAAATACTACCTAGTGCTATCAGTGAAGTAGACAACTGATTTGCGTCGCCCATATTTTGGTTTATCTTTTTTGCCTCCTAATACGCGTCAAATAAATCAGTCCGATTGCCACTCGAGATAAATTGGAGCGGAGAGAGAAAGAGATGAATTAGCAAAAACTATTCGGATATAAACCCCGGGATATAGTAATACATAACAAGATTTCATTTGACAACTCCGTCTGAAGTTATAAATGGTCTATTCATAGCCGAGAAAACTTAATATAATATAGATTGCCTCTCCAGTCTCCTCCATCTCTCCAATTCACATTAAACCGTGTGTCGGTCCAAACTTAATTGTTGTAAAACAGCATTCGCTCGGACGTGTCGGTTGGGGGGCGGAGGAGGGACAGGCAATTCGCTACTATCAGAAATTTAGATGAACGTGGCTGTATGGGTGCTTCAATATACCGGTTTAGATAGAAATGGGTCCTTGGCAAAATTAGAGCTATATTTGCGAGATCGTCGCCGTGTTTCATTGCTTGTATGTCGTGTATATAGTGCGGGGATTAAATCGACTCCGCTTCTGCATCTGAATTACATTAATTAAGACTTTGGAGTGTTTAAATTTAATTGTTTAATCTCAATAATACACGCCGTAGTCGTAACGTTGGTTTCGCTGGTTCACACCTAAGCTGACGTTCCTTTGTACCGTTTTATTTGTAGTTAGCACGTAAATTTGCAGTTTTGCAATATCAGTGGGGATTAAATTGCTAAAAGTAATTATTTAACTCAGAACACTGTATGGCAAAATCGATTTGTTTACCAGGAAAGTTCCAGAAAAAGTAATTATAAAAGTCATGGCAAAAATTTTGGTTTTATTTATTTTATAACTTTGTTTCGTACAATTTTCTATAATATAATTGTTACCCTTTAATTCAATAAAATAATTTTCAAATTTTAGCTTAGTTTAGCGCGATATACAACAGCTGAATGTTTTTAATAAGTGTCCGATATTTCACAGTCTTTTCAAGAAAAAAAAATTACATCAACAACGTCCGCAAGATTTGTTTTCTTTAATGGTATTTATGGTATTCAGTTTAAATTGTCAGAAGGTCTTTTTTCAATAATTAATAGAAAATAGCCATTTTGTCATGAAAATATCTTTCTTTTTTTTCACGCGAAAACATTGCCACCAAAAAAGAAATAACATTTACCCCAACTTGAATAGGAATTTCGAGAATAATGTTTGTTTTCAAAGAAGATGTTTTAAAAGTAGTTAGCGCCAAAACATAGCCTTTGATTCTAAATAGGTGTGCATTAAATTTGATGAAACAAATTTGTTCACATAAATTTAAGCCATAACTTCTTTTGTCACTGTTCTTCATGCAAAATGTATTCATTAAATTATTTCTCATTTTTTTCTTATGGCGTTAATCTTTTCTTTTATTCTTCTATGTAATGGAGGTACCTGCTCAGCAACAAATTAAAATTGTGTATAATTGCGTACATTTGAATACGAATTGGTCATTTTTGAGAAATCTATTAAACAAATCTATATATCTATCTACCTCGATACATAAGGAAAGGAAAAACAAAGTAGATTGTCAACGTAATGTAATTTCAGGGCGGATTGAAAGCCGCCATTTTGGCCGATGTGATGCAAGGACTGACAATGATAGCGATAAGCGTCGCGATAATAATCCAAGGTTGCGTAGAAGCTGGCGGTTTGGGCACTGTATACCGGGTCGCCAAAGAAGACGGCAGATTGGATTTCTTTAAGTAAGTAATTTCCAATAGCTCGAGGATTTGATTATATTTGATTTTATATTTAGGGATTTTCTTAAACTAGCCCTGCCATCTGGCTACTAACGTGTTTATAAGGAAGTTTTACATTTTGAGGTTCGGTTTACTCATTTAGGTTTTGGCGAAAGAGTTGTGTTTTTGTGATGAATTAAAAAAATGTGACGGTTAAAAGTGGAACTTAATCGGGAGCATTCTCGTGCAATAATTTTTTACAACTTTAGACGTGTACTAACTCAACAAAATGCATCTTAATGCAACTTAATTCGACTTTAGTCGTGGTCGTAGTTTTCTTAAGGATGAATTTCCTGAAGCTCGTTCAAAATCGGTGGTTGTCCAAGAAAACATTGATGCAGTGCGGAAACTGATTTTGCAGGATTGTCATGTGACTTACCATGAGATTGAGGTATCTTTGAACACTAGTGGGACCAGTATACATACAATACAACAACATTTGGGCGCTAAAAATTTTTGTTAGCGTTGGATTCCCCACATTTTGACATCAGCTCAAAAAAGGCAAACAAATGGTAGCCTCTTTTTTTAGGCAAACTAGTTACGTTGCAACTGTTTCTTTGGTAAAAGGTAAAACAGTCAATTCTGCATGGTACACAACCAAGATATTTGCTTTTCTTCATGCATCAAACCAAATCTTACCAATATTTCTTATTTTTTCTCCCAGGACATTTGTTGCCACAACTCTGCTTCAATGGCCTCTCAATGGACCTACCATTATTTTCAAATGCTTCTTTTTATGGCTTACCAAATCTGCTGTAAATTTTGGCTCTTGGCGCATGTATCCACCATTGCCGGAAGTTTTTCCATCCATTTCTTGGTGGCTGATTTGGCAATGGATTTAGCTACTGTGCAATCATGCGCCTTGTGGAGTCTTCACATTGATAAACTTCTCCACTTCTTCTCCGCTCGTATATCATAGTATGGTATTTGTGTATTTCGTTATGCTTCTGATTCCCTTATTTTAAATAGTTTTTTTTCTGCTTTTATTTATTTGATTTTTGCCATTAAATTTGTTGCAACATTTTGTCGACACAAATGTCACTGACTGGTTTAAGTTGTATTTTGATGGAGCTGAAGTATTCAGTTTTCGTGTCAATTTTTGACCATTTTTGCTTCGCATTCGGCGTCTGTTTCCGTGAGCGCAAACTTATAGGACACGGAAACTAAACTTTGTCTGTCGTTTTATTTGTAGAATTTCGCGGATGTAATCCAAAGTTATTTAAAGTTTGTAAATGCAAAACTTTCGAGGGGCCGACTTAAACTTTATCTGTGTTTCGAACAATCTTTCTAAGCGCGGTCTTCGAGTTTATTTAAATTGAAGCGTTTTAAAACAATCATATAGACGCCCACTTCGAAGTACCGTTTCAAAGCAACTATTTTCTATTACTGCTTCACCTGATAATATCCGAACTTGAAGGAAATTTAAACATAGAAACGCGAGATTGCACGATGTTTCCAACTTCGTTTCGAAAATAAAACTTTTAGTTGGTGTTTTTGCCACAAGACAAACTTGCAACCGCTGATCAGTACACCGCCATTTAATAGCTACTGACGGTTTACTCAGCGTGGAGTCTGGTCACATTTTACCAAACCAATATCAGTTGTCTTATACATCGCCATTTTGGGATAAAATTTTCGAAAATTCTACGGAATTGAACTTAACCAAGGTTGTTGAAATTGGTTGTTTCTGGATTTCTGGTTTGATGTTTAATCCTTTATATACTCCTTTTGTTTACGGACTGTCAAAAGGACGTCTCGTGCCCAACAAAAAGCTACAAAGGTTGGTAAAGAAGAGCGGAACATTTTCCGCGAAATCTGTGTAGACCTGTAAAGAGTGAGCCCATCTTAAGTCAAAAAGGATGAAAATTTATATGATTTATTTAAAAAAATTAAAAAAATCTTTCACACGTAATGCTGAGAATGTTTAGATTTTATATCGGGTTTTGCAGTAATTTTCTAATAGTATATCAGGCACTTGGGTTGATAAGTGCCATCTTAGTCATGAATTTGATTTGGCACTAGCGGAGCGAGTGCTTAATAAAGAAGAAGTTTATCAAAGTATGGTATACTATTCCGCGACCATTAATTTTTGCTTGTGACGTGTAACGTTACGGTCGGAGGTTAAAATCTACCTAAAATATCCAATCGCTCCCAAACACTTACCAAAATACCGTGAACATCCGAAGCGGCTTGCGACCGTGTGTAGCGAAGCTGACGTGCTTGATGCTTATATACGAGGTGTGTTCAAAAATTAAGGCGACTTTTGTTGCACAGAGTAGGTAGATTCGATCTTGGACCGGAAGAAGCACAGCAATTTCGATTAAATGTCAAGGTTTTCCTTACTGATTTCTTTGATTATTTCTTTGATAGTACATCATGAGTTCTTATCACAAGGTCGTTCGGCCAATAAAGAGAACAAAACAATTCATGGATTTTGCATCACAATAGTGCACCTGCTTACTCATCGTTGCTTGTGTCCAACTAGTTGCAAGAACTCAAGGCTTCGTGGATTGGCACAAATATGTTATTATTTCTGCGGAGGATTACTTTGACGAGGACAAGGACAGGATAATCAATTGCTTCCGATGGAAGCAATTGATTATAATTTTTGATATTTCTGCCGCAATTAATTTAAGCTCTTTCCAGTTATCCGCTGTCAGATATACCTGCAATGCTTAGATGAACTTTTTCTATTGATTTTGAAATGTACTAACAATTAACTCCTGCATATTCCTCGAGACAACGGTCTCGAATAACTACGACAACCCTTCACAATAAAACGAAATTAAAATTCGAAGTCGAAAACGCTCCGGCTGCATGAGCCACGCGAGTCAGATAGTGGCGCTCGCGATGCTCGAGCATTGTGTTGCGAATTTGCAGTTTTCAGGAATTTCAATGTTACGTGTCGCCGTAAGATTAAACTGTTTTCAGTCGAGCTTAAATTGGTCCGCTCTTGGAGTATCTCCGATGCCGGAAATATCGGGAGATTTGCAGCAACTCAGAACTATTAAGTTGGATGCCGGGAATTTTGGAATTAATTTTAAAGTGAACTATTAGGACTGTGCGCGGGACGGTATTGCGAACCATTCTCGAAAATGGACGCGATCTATCCTCGAAAGTATTCGATGTGTTTCGTTTTATTGGATTCCAAAAATTGAATTGAAAGCAGGAAGGTTTCAGGTCTTTTGAGCTTTGGTACCACGGCAAATCTCGTAAATGAATCTAATCAAAGAAAGCACAATATTCGACAGTCTTTTCTCTTTTTCTTTCGTTCTATTTGTGTTCTAGATCTAGTTTGCTAGTCTATTAAGTCACTCTCTTGCATACGAAAAAATTCATGTGATTTTTATACTAGCTGACAGTTGAACCCGAATGATTCTAAGAAAATAATATAAATATTCTGAAAATAATGTTATAGTTAACTAATCAAACTAAAAAAAAAAACAAAATTATTAGTATATTAAGTAAAACGTAAAATGAAACTAAGTACCAACCCAAACTATTTACTATTCTAGCAGTAACCTTTCCCAAAACAAGAAATTATTCATATCCTTATAATTATTTTTTTATCTTCATTCATCTTAATACTAATCATAACCACTAATATCGTTCGTATACTAATACTATGCTAAACGGATAGTTTTACCTATAAAAACTAAAATAGAAGTCACAAATAATACTCTAGAAGTACTATTATAATTAAAATAATCAAACTTAAAAAAAAGTATATTAAATAAAACATTAAACTAACCTAAATTATTTGCTGGCCTATTACGTAATTTTCTCTATAGATGTGGAAATATTACATAGTCTTATAATCAATTTTTCTGCCGTCATTCATGTTCGTTACAAACCCAATAGTATATTATGCAACAAGTGCGATAAACGGCATTTGACTCACGAGTTTATTTGACACGAGCGGAGCGAGTGTTTAATAAACGAGGATACATTTTCGCAAAACACGAATACATTCACTGACATGACTGCCAGAATTGACAAACGTCAAAATTCAAAGCGTGGGAAATATCTCCGAAAACATCCTATTGCTCCCAAACCCGTGCGGTAAAATCCCGGAAATGTCCGAAGTGGCTCGGATTCGTGGCAAACGAAACTGACGTGGTAAAGCGATGCTTCCCGCACGCTAGATGGGTGCGTAATTAGGTATTTTACAGACGGGAGTAGAAAATAGCATATTATGCAATAAGTGCGGTAAACAGCATCTGACTCACGAGTTTGACACGAGCGGAGCGAGTGTTTAATAAACGAGTGTGTTAAAAAGGTTATCGAACGTGTTGCATACTATACTTTTTCTACGACCGTTAGTTTCTGCGTACATTTTCGCAAAACACTAATACATTTACTGACGTGACTGTCAGAATTGATAAACGTCAAAATTCAAAGCGTGGGAAATATCTCCGAAAACATCCGATTGCTCCCAAACCCGTGCGGTAAAATCCCGGAAATGTCGGAAGTGGCTCGGATTCGTGGCAAACGAAACTGACGTGGTAAAGCGACGCCTCCCGCACGCTAGATCGGTGCGTAATTAGGTATTTTACAGACGGGAGTAGAAAAATACCATTTCTATACACTTAATAAGTATTATTAACTTGGCTGCTAAGTAACCCCTTCTCAAAGGAACACATAATTAATTGTTCCTCAATTAATTTTTTGTGGCCCATGATTCATTTCAATAGTAATCATAATCCCAAATATTTACATTTACACTAAAAGAATTTTTTTTCAAATAATATCTTCGCTCTCCTTTTAAATATATTTTCTGAACATTTTGCTAAAAACATGGCAAAGTACAACATCAAAAAAATAATATAAATATTCTTGAAGTAGTAGTAAACACATTTTTATTAGATAAAAATGACGAAAGTTGACTTACATTAAATCAATATATTGAATACTCTTTCTCCTCTAATTCTCCATGCAATAAAATCTTAAATTGTTACTTTGGTGAAGAATTTTACACCTACAAGCTTTAAGACAAGCACTGAGTGGTTTGATACCTTGTTTACTCATAATTTAAACCATTTTGTTATTCTAATATTGTAATGTTCTAATATATACCCGATTAATAAAATAATAATATACTTTTAGGTTAAGGAATAAGGGAAGATATGTTGCGATTACTTTTTAACGAGCAATTTTTTTAAAATAAATAGTTAATTAATGAAGATTTATTAGAGATTTGTAGACCCAACTGTGGCACTTCTTGTTCTTCTATTCCTTAAGTTCTGATTCAGAAATAATATTCTGCATTTGTGATTTTGAATCAAAAGCTTAAGGTCTTACGTTCCTACTTACTATAAAACTAATCCCCTCAGAAATATCTAGAAAATTATTTAAATTAAATGTTGAACATCTTTCACGAAAATATTAAGTATCTATATTATATAAGCATTTTTTTGTTGGTCTGGAAGGTGATTCCAAACAATAAGGGAGCTTTAATAAAAGCTCGACAGACCTGAAATTTTTATCACTTTATTCAAATCCCGACTTGAACACACTCGAAAGTTTAAACGATATTAAACTCAATTTCGTTAAAATTCGCATAACAAAAATGTCGGCCACTTTAATTCTTTCAGAGGCACGAATTTCCTGTTTGTCTCTCCGGTTCGGAAAAACTTGGATTTTAATAAAGTTCCGCGAAAAGTTGACAGTTTAAAGACGAAGTTTGACGGGGGGGCGAATCCTAATAATGGATCAGAACGGCGAGATTTAAATTCGTGCGAAGGTGGCGGTTAATTTATTTTCGACGTTTCGAAGCGAAACGTAAACATCATCGGCACGAAGCGTTGCGGAACTGAACAAACAGAAACTTTAAATGAAGGAAGTACATATTAGCTAAACTTCGCAAGGAAATCTGATTGTAAAAGGGCCATTCTAGAGGGCGTATTTTAACGGGAAATCGTCTTCCAACTTCTTTGTGCAAAACTACATTCTCTTTTTTCAAAGAAACTTCCACAGGCTACTGTAGTGCTTTTTACAAAACTTCTGGATTCTGCTGCGTCGGTTTTTGCTTAGTCGAAATTGCTGACGTTTCGCCAATCATCCTGTTGGCTTCTTCAGAGCTTGACTGAAACGTCAATTTCGACTCAGCAAAAACCGGCGCAGGAGGAATCCAGAAGTTTTGTAAAAAGCACTACAGTATCTGTCCATTGTGTTTTTCTGTTTTTTTTTTATTTATTAACGAGGTTTTTGAAAAAGGTTTGAAAAAATTGCAATCGATGAAAATACAAAGGTTTACATTTAAATATAGAGAACGAAGGGATAAATGTGATCCAAGATTTTCATTCGATAAACAAGTTTGTGGAAAATATGCCCTCCTCTAGAATCTAGAATATGAGTTCGGAAGCTTGATGTTCAAAGTTTTGATATTCGCCGAACTTCAAACTTATCTACTAACTCGTGGTAAAATTATGTTATGGCTATATTTTCATTTCAGCTTCAATCTAGATCCAAGTATTCGCGTGACAACAATGTCGGCGGTTATCGGACAGCTTTTCATGTCTCTGTCAATTTTCGGGTGTCAGCAAAACTTCGTGCAACGTTACTGCAGCATGGACTCCCAAAAGAAAGTGACGAAGTAAGTTAATATATTTCATTTTGGAAAATTCCACGCTAGGGTCGACCGCTCGGGTAGAACAACGTTGTAAAGCAATTTTATACTACAATTTATTAAATAATCTGATTGTAACGGATTTCGCAGTTTGTTTGTTTTTGCAAACATGTTTATATCTGTGTGTTGGACTGTCCTTCCGGTATTAATTGGAACTCAGATAGATCACGAAAAAAATGAAATCCCTGGAACACAATTAGCTCCTTTAGTTTACCAGGGTTGGATTAAGTTGTAATATTTTAATACGCTGTACGAAAAATACCTAAAAAAGGTTTTTGTATTCTAATGAAATATTTTTAATAGAAAGAAACAGATTAATGTTTATTTTTAGTTAATAATAAAGAGAAATGAAACAATTTTCCAAATTTTTAAAGTAGAGTTAGTTACATTTAAAGTAGAGTTTAGAGCCAAAAAATAAAACTTTTTAATATTTATACGTTTATTTTGAAATTAGTAAATTGGTAAATAATCAATTGGGAGTTTATCATTTGATCCTGAACCTACAATAGTTTGCAATTAAATATTTTTTGTCGTTAATTTGTTATGAGTTGTTATTAATATTAATTGATTAAATAAATTAATGGTTCTTTGGTACAAATTTGAAAACAAATTGCTTAAATTTATTTCTAATTATTCAATAAAAACTAAGCAATAGTCCATTTTCAAAAAAAAAAAAACATTTTCGGTATGTTTCAGGCCTTTTTCATACAAATTCAACTACCCCTGGGAAACTGAATATGCAAAATATGTTTCAAGTTTTTTGCTTCAAAGAAACACAGGCTACTGTTTACAAAACGGTTTTTGCTGAGTCGAACTTGCTGACGTTTCGCCAATCATCCTGTTGGCTTTATTGAAACAGTTTCAGCTAAGCTCTGAAGAATTAGTATGTTTGTACACTAATAGGAAAATTCCAGCACACACTTTAAAAGTGAATCCTTGTAAATCCCCACCCTGTATGGATATACTTATAGATGTATATATTCATTCTGACAGCGTGAATTACCAGAATTTCGATAAGTTATGAAAACTGAGATTCCGGGTACAGTACACGTATATATTATTATCAAACGGTATAGATCTTAATTTTCCATATTTTCCCGGAACCTCGTAATCTGCGCGGATGAGACAAATTTCCCCGAATTTTTAAACTTACCTATTTTCTCCCCTTCCAGGACCCTAATGTACAACATCCCCGTAATAACGGTATTGTTCAGTTTGTCGTGGGTGGTAGGAATGGTGGTATACGCCGTCTATGCAAGATGTGACCCGCTAACATCAGAATACATTGATAAATACGACGAGATCCTGCCGTTTTTCGTTGAAGACCGGTTCAGCTATTTACCGGGGATTCTGGGTTTATTTATGGCCAGCCTTTTCAATGGGGCACTCAGGTAAGTGCAAAGTCCTATTTTCTGCTTTCTTTCGCGAACACAGCGTTGTCGGGCTTGCCCGGATTTCTTATTTATTTCACATCTCTATTTACCCGGCATTTTCCATTCGCGTTCCATTTTATTCGATTCGTTTTTGCCGATCTACAATTAAGGCAACTGTATGCTGTAATATACATACAATTTGTTGATTTGTGTCACTCTAAATTAAAGCAATTAATACAGTAGGTTATACCTTTTCAGAAAACATTTTTATTTTAGTAATTTTACTGTAACGTTAAAACTATGTTTGCAATAATTTTTACCATATGATAATTCAGTTTTATAGCATTTTATTTTTAGAGAAACTTCAATGCCAATTTTGATTGAATGTTGATTGAATGAATCTCCCCAATAAGTAATACTCACATATTTCTTAAAGTATCCACAATTTATTTATTATTACTTGACTTTATATTAATTTTTACCTAAGTTGCTGTAATTTTGAGATCCTCATTTTTTAAATTAAATTCACTTTTTACATTTACACACATTTACACATTTACTTTTTACACAGTTACATATACATAGTACTTAAGGATTTAAGAACTGAACTGGATCCAATTTGCCATATTAATGATAATAATAATGTTAATAATAATAAATAAATCGTCTTTATTGCCCAAACTTACAAAATGGAATAGAGAAACACATAATTAAAAAAGGAAAGCAAAAAGTAATACTACGAGAAAAATAAATAAATAATAATCAAAAATATTTGAGTGGTTTAATATGAGTACATATACATATTGATGACACTTAAAATGGAAATACATTGACATAGGATGGTACTTTTAAACAACCACTAAGTCATATATTTACACAAATATTTATTATTCACCGAAATAATCGCTGTGGGTATACTAATCCAAACAGTACCATGCTCAATAAAAATTTTCAGATAACAGACAATTCCAAATTTAAAAGATATGACTACCTGTACACAAAAGTCGTGATTTCTCAATTACGCGCTGATTAGCCGCTGTGCAAAGTGTCACTTTCAGACATAATTTTTATTAATCATTAAGTCGTGCGTGAGCCATTTCGCTATTTTGCCTTTTATGAAACACAAGTTTTGAACCATTGGATGTTTTCCGTCTACACTTTAATTTACTATTATGTTTTGACGTTTGTCAGTTCTCTGATTGTTGCATCATACGTTCCTCAGTTTTGCACAAATGTATTGCAAAACCAATGGTCTTAGCAAAATGTTAGTATGTAATAAGTTTATAAAATACTTTGACTAACTATGACTAAAGTGTGCTTTGTAAAACATTACTTTAATTAAATAGTGTCAAATTTTGCTTGTATACATTTCCCTTTATAATTATAACAATGTGATAAAAAACAGTAGACTGTTATCACTAATTCAATTAAAACTAATTGCCTAGTAAGCAGCATTACCGAAACAATGACTGGGATTTTTATACTCCCGTCTGTAAAATACCTAATTACACTCCGTCAGTTTCGTTTCCCACGAATCCGAACCATTTCGGACATTTCCGGGATTTTGCCGCACGGGTTTGGAAGCAATGTACCCAAAAACTAACGGTCGTAGAAAAAGTATAGTATGCAAAACGTTCGGTAAACTTTTTAACTAACACCTTTATTAAATACTCGCTCCGCTGCGCTCCGGCGCGCTCCGCTCGCTTCAAATAGACTCGTCAGTCAAATGACGTATACCGCTCCTGTTGCATAATATACTATTACTACATGTTGCATACTATACTTTGTCTACGATCGTTAGTTATTGGGTACATTTTTGCAAAACAACACGAAAGACATTCACTGACATGCGACTGACAAACCCGTGCGGTAATATCTCGGAAATATCCGAAGTGGTTCGGATCCGTAGGAAACGAAACTGGCTTGGTAAAATGACACTTCGCGCACTCTAGATCGGCGTATTATTAAGAATTTTACAGAAGGAAATAGAAAAAAATAATGTAAATTTCCAGTTCGCTTTGCTATTTTTTTTTCTTTATTACCGTTAATGTTACTGCATAATTGACGAATAATTTTACTGTTTTTTGTTTTGTTGTCTTCTTCTCTTTGGTTAGTTAATTAAAATAAAGAAAATTCTTTGAAACCAATTTTTTCTTTTAATTTAGTGTTCTATACGAATAATGTACATAAATAAAACGTACTCTTTCCGAAGTGTTGGCAACGCGGTTCAAAGGGAAGGAAGTCGGTGTTATTGTGAGCAATGGCGAAATCCCGGCGTTGTTTTTACTTGATGCACACCGAATGCACCGTAGTATTTTACGATTTGTTGCAACGGGAAACTGCCAGAGGAAAATATAAAATGAGGTTGGAAAAACTTACGTTACGCGGAAATTAAATTTGGTAAACGGGCTTTCGTGGTCACCGTCTACGTCGCCGTGGTTTGTTGTCGTAGGATTTTTCCTAAATTGTAACATATAGGCTAAGTAATTGAAAAAAATATTCTGCCGACGATGGACCCATGTTTATTTTTCCCGTTTCGCTGATTTGCGAATTCAAGAAAGAAAATATGGCGAAATATCGTTCTAAAAATATTATTTATATAGGGTATTTCATAAAAGCGTTTCAATAGAAAATTTTTAAATGGAACATTATATATTTTTCTATATTCCTCCTTATCTATTAACCACTCAGATGACCCTTCTGATTTCCTTAGAATGTTTCGTCCCCAATAAAATCTGGTTTATCAAATTGAAATATATAAAATCGTGCTCAGGTTGACATGAGTTCTAGACTAATTTAGCACACCCTGGACTTCCTAGTGGAAAAATCAACAACTATAGTTAACGGCATCTTCTCCAAACGTGAATTTCCAACTGATTTAATGATGGCAAAAGTAATCCAGATTCATAAAAAAAGTGACTCGGGTGACAACACGCAAAATCCATGGCTAGTCTCCCAACCATTGCCAAAATAATTCAGAATACTCTCAAAAGACCTTTTTCTAAATATTTTGAGGTTATTAACTTCTTTACCCACTACTATTTACAAAACTTGTGGATTTCTCCTGCGTCGGTTGATGTTGAATCGAACTTGCTGACGTTTCCCCAATCATCCTGTTTGGAAAGAGTTTCAGTTAAGCTCTGAAGAACCCAACAGGATGATTGGCAAAAAATTATTTACCCACTCTCAGCTTGGATTTCGTTAGAATTACCTACAAATGACATACGTATTTATTTATTCTCAAGCCGCTCGAGAAATAGTCTTCTGAATTTTGTTGTTTTGCAAAACTTAATGGGTTAATAGAATTTTTCTTTGTTTCCAAGAAATATTTCGTTAAGAAAAAGTAAAAAAAAAGTTTTTTATGATCTTTTATACAATGAATTATACAATTACAAGTAGACGTTTATATAGTCAAATACATTACATTATAGAAGTTCAATCAGACGCCTAAGTTACTATTTCATTCAGGGAGTTTTCCAGAAATTTACCGACTTTACGAAATCGAAAATAATCTCCCATTTTTATATAAAACACCATATACCTAACTACTTTATAGTGTCCAGTTACTGATCCTATATTATTTTTGTTAACGTTTCCACAGACATCTTGATTCAAGTTGTTACGTAATATCCATTTTCATTTATTTATCTTTTCTTTATTTGTCTTTTACAAAAATATTTTAACTTGTCGCATCTAATGAGATATGAATATAATGTGTACCACTTTATTTTCTTACATTTTTGATTTATGGTTTAAAATTACCTAACCAATTTATTTAATTATTCAATTATTCGGTTAAACTAGCAATTAAGTAAAATAGAAAATAAACTTAATCTAACTAAGAAGAACTAACGAATAATATTTGATAACCTTCTTAAACACCATTTTTCTCGAAATTATAACTACATATTTCACTCATTTTACACACCCACATTTTGAAAAACGTTTATTATTCTCACTTTTATTCTTCTCTCTGTCGTTAGACGGTAGCTTTATCTCTATTTCATTTTATATTCGTTTTTTATCTGCCAATGGCAAATAAAACCAAAAAATACCCAAATTAGTTGTTTAGTAATAACAGAAACCTATTTTATGCAAACACATTTCAAATGTAAATGTAATACATTTATTTTTTGTATTCAGGGCACAGTAGATAGCGATAACACAAACGTGTGACTTAAATGCCTTTTAACACTCTTGTCGCATAATATAATATTAAACACTTTCCAATTTTGTCCAAATAAGTTGACACTGGGTGACAGTGGGACATGCGTTTTCATAAATTACCCTGTATAAATTATTTTTTAATCTATTAAAGATGTATCTATGTAGTATTTTCCTACTCTATTGCCTCCCATGTATGCACTAAGCAAAAGTTTTTCTTATTATGGAAAGTAAATAATAAATTGTTTTGGAACCATTTAATTTTTCATACTATTTAGGAAAACGAATTGAAATGAAGATTTTGATAGATTATGGAAAAGTTTTCTGTAACTACCTATGAAATTTTTATTCCAGTCTCAACGTGTCCAACTTGAACTCGTTGGCGACCGTGACTTTCGAGGATTTTATGCGACCAATACCGTTCTTTAAGAACATGAAGGATTCTCTGCAGCTGTGGGCGATCAAAATTGTGGGCGTCATTTTGGCTTTCATCATCATGGCCATGGCGTTCGGCATCGCCCACTTGGACGGCGTTATAGAAGCTTCCATGTTGGTGACGTCTGCTACTTCCGGACCGCTGCTGGGTGTGTTCATTATGGCGATGCTCATTCCTTGCGCCAACTGGAAGGTAAGTTGAATTTGCCATAATCATAGTTGGATTAAACGTGGCTCGAGCAGTTTTTTCCGATCTTTCATAAAAAAAGTGCAAGATTATGAAAATATCCCGTTTTTATTAGCAAGGAATTGATGTCTTTTTATTAGGACACCATCAATTTATTGAGATAAACTCAAAGTGCAGAGGCAACAGGTGTTCCGGATATTTTTTTAATAAATTAAACTTTATATTCATATATTTTACCATTACCAGTATCAGCTGTAGGTTGCATATGGGTTGCCCTACCAAAAGTGAGTTTATCCTTTGCAACCATACATTAATAGAGTTTTTAAAGCTAGACTTTTTATATTTTCTATGTATATTGTTCATTTATTTTACAGAAAAAATAAAAGCCTGACTGGATTTTACTACATCTTTAAAACGTCAAGAACAAGAAACAAATTTAAAATTTTCCGTTCCACGGTACTGACGAAATAAATTTGAGTTCTAAAATCATATAAACTATTTGCACTATTTTTTCAACTCCATATCTGTAAACTGTACTCAGATGGACGTACTTTCAACAAGATTCACTAGAGATTTCATAAATCTCAAGGTAGATGGCGCTCGAGTCATATAAATTCGAATTCAAAAATTCGTTAAATTTTGAAGACAGGAAAGTGTCCTTTTTTTGTAGTTCGATCATATAAATAAGAATTTATGAGGTAATTAGTTCAAATCATTTATTGCGACAAAAAAAATGAAGAATTTATAGTAAATTTTGGAAATGTATATGATATTAAGCTAATATGTTCATGATCCTATAATTAACACAAAAATTTCCTTATTACGTTATTAATTAATCACCAGTGAGAACAAATAATACAGGGCATAAGAAATATTCGATAAAATTGAAAATATAGCGGGTGATTCAAAAAAAATAAACAAAATTACAATTAAAAAAGAATAAATTAAATAAGTAATATAAAAAATATCCTTTAAAATATGATGAAAATTAAAATTAAAATATTTCCATTATGAACTTTAATATGATTTGGGAAGGAAACTATTTGAACCTTGACGGTCTGACACACATATTAGCATACGCAACATGTATATGAACACGACAACAAATAAACGGTAAAAACAATTTGCGTGGGGAAGTGGGGAGCCTATCTCAAGGTATTGATGATTATTTAATTTAAGACAGTTTTGAGAAAACCAAAATTTGGCATCATTCGTTTACTTATTTGTAAGTCTGCGCTAGCGAAAACGAATATAAACCTTCGGAGAAATATTGACAGGAAAACCAGATAATATATAACAGTATCATTTATTTGACGGAAAAAAAAAGTTTTTTCTCAAAAAGGTTCTCAATTTCTTAGGTTTTGTAGCAGTATCTGACATTTTCGTTCTCCATTTCATTTAAAAATAAGTTGAACTGTGAAAATACAAAACAATAATGATTGAAATACCAAATTTAAATCGTATGGTAATTTTACAGGGTTTAAAATAACTGTTTTTCTTGTTCCGTATTTCGTATTGGATTGCCGCCCGCCCCCTTATCATACCACAAAAACTAAGACATGCAAGCACGTGACGATCCTATCAAGTACAGCAAACCGTCTCAGAAAAATGTTTTATGAGCGAATGTGTAGGCGCCAAGGCGACGTGTATGATATATCGGTCCCTTATCCGTGATATGCATTAACCCGGCTAGATGGCGTAAACATGAAAAAAATAATTAAATCTTGAGATTAAATTTTCATGAACGTATACTTTGCTCAAGCTTATGGTAATTTTTGCGGCATAATCTACTTATATTGGGAACAGTAAATACATACTACACAAAGAAATGATAACATCCTGATAAAGACTTTAAGGAATAGTGTATAAACGTTTTATTTCGTCCTTAGCTATATTTAAAGTTAGCTTATTTTTTGTTAGCAAGTCTTAGGAACGCGTTAAAAAGTTTGAGTGACGTTTTGGGGTTTTAGTAATGTGTTAATGTCGAAAAAGGGTTTTAGCTAATAACTCATCAACATCAAATGCAGTAAGTATGGACCCAGTTCCTGCAGTTTTGTTTTTGTGGAATGGCTCTAACGGGGTTACTGGTAATCAAAACATATGCTAATAACCAAGGTAAACGCCGAAAGCGGAATCGCAGTGGGAGCGCTGAAAAGATATTAAAGCTCCAAGTTAAGGTTTTTATTGGAAGGTCAAGCTTTCGTTCGTGGAGGCATAAACGGTAGTATTGTTGTAAGTTGTACACATTATTTCCAAATTTATAGCCTTTTCCATGGCATGTTTTTCCGTACATTTTAGAGTCCCGATTAAGCCGACGTTCCCTGACGGAGGATTGACCTTCCAATAAAAAAGCGTAAACTTACAGCTTTTACATCTTTTTCCTGCTCCCTCCGGGTTTATGCTTTTGGGTTTTGCTTATGGTAGCCTTTGATTGAGTTAAATTGTAAAAAAGGCATTTCAAATAAGTTCTTTGACTTAAAGTCTCTTCTGATTTAAATTGTTACTAGGCATCAAAAACAAACGTATAACATACTGAAATTTGCGGTTGCGATTGAAGCTTTTTTGGTTTTTTTCCTTATGCCTTCCCAGCTGTCACTAGTTATTTATTTCTAGTCATAGTCTATTTCGGAAAAATGCTGGATGCAAATGCTTGCTTTGTTGGGCCTTGATATCCTCTTGTCGTTTTTCGCCAGTTCCTCGATGTTACTGCCTCAATGGCCTCGTGAAAGAGTTTAATGTGAATTTGAATATCTTTTGTCTTGCGCTGATATAAGTTCTGTAGGCATCTCATGGAAACATTCCACCTTTTTCCAGTAACAGTGCAGTGATATTATGCTTTTTCCAGGCAAAATCCAAATCTTTTAAAGCAGTCGAGAAAAGTTTTCTAGTTATCAACGGAATAACCTGTCATCAAAATCTTATCTAAACCGCATATTTTTTAGTAATACAAAGAATGAAGTTTCTTCGAATTACACGTTTGGTATCTTCATCAAATAGTCTACCCGAACTTTTCTTGGGATGTTCCATTTAACCTGCTCTCTTTTTTACACGCGTTTCGTTTTTGGAGACGAAGAAGTCGACCATTTTTTTTTCTATAATTATCGTTAATCGTTCAATCAAAGAACCTGACGGAATTGATTTTAAATCGGACGCGACGCTTAACGCAAGACTCGTAATTATTCTCATCGCCGATAACCGAACCAGTCGATTCGGATTTATCGGCGAAATGTAACGTTCGGCGAGAAAATTCCTCGTGTCACATCGACTTTTTGATGTTATTCGGAGACCTTTAACGGTCTCGCAACTAAATAAACTCGATTTTCGCTTCGAGGGTTGTGTAGCGCGCTCTGATTTTCACTTGCAGCAGCGGCATTCGAAGTTTAATCACCCGTGGCTCTTTTTCAAGTGATGCAAGAGCAAATTGCAGCGGGAATCCATACGCGGGGTCGGATCCGCTGAAGTTTTATTTAAATTGGCATTACGCAATTCGCGCACGCTGATTGTTCATTGTGCCGACCTGGGAGGGGATTGATATAGGTAGAAACAGTGACTACTGTATGCGTACCGGGTGTATAATAACTAATCAACAAACCAAGGTATTTAGGGTCTATAAATAGAATGACAAATTTTGTAAAAATTTTTGCTTATATTACCAACGTGCAAATTTCTGCTAGTATTTTATTCGTTAAATAACAACAACCGCAAGCTAAGCCCTCCTCTCCAAACCTCAAGTCTAATCTTTGGTGCTCTGATTGATTATTGATTTTGATTATTCTTATCGGATATTTTAATAATATTCTAATAGCTGAAACCATGGATTAAAAGTAAGGAAGAGAGGCGTAAATTCGGAAAAAATGATGCTATATACATATATAATATTATTTGTTCATACAACGGGTATGCACAAAATATTTTCATGCTTTTTAATGTTTTACATACAGAACCCCTTAATATATTGATCGAAATACAAATGTGTCGATATTCGTAAAATACGCCTTTCTATATAAACATCTCATTAAAACCGAAGACATAAAAATAAAGTAAACCACACCGTAAAAGAAACAACTTTGCTCGAGCTTCTTAAATGCTACTAGGGTATTTTGCGAAAGAATCTAGTGCATTGCAGCCAAAACATCCCTAGACGTAGGTAGGGTGATCATGATGGCAAGTAGAACACCTTCAAACAAAGACACACTTGCCTTATAAACTACTGGACCCTTTCTCTTTCATGGAGATCAAACCAAGTTGACTCGTTCAGATACTAAGAAATATAGTAGTTCCGGATGTTGTAACTGAATCGTAACTGAATTGAGCCTGCTTCTAACAATCTGACCCCACCAAAGAAACTAGATAGTACCAAAGTATCACACGCCTATGTTAACTTTTGTACACTCATTGAGCATTTAAAATTGAGAATACGATTGTTGAAGTCGGAATATAACTAAACTACCAGTCGATCCATAGACCCAGATTTCTACAAAAGTCGGACTTTAGACGGAAATTGTCAATACAAAATTTGAAATTTCAAATAAGGATAATGGGTTCTATGAGTGAGTACCAATGACTAACACATAAATCTGGGTTCCTCCTGCTGAAGTTTCAGTAAAGCTCTGAAGAAATCAACAGGATGATTTGCTAAACACCAGCTAGGTAGATTTATGAGCAACCAACGCAGGCGGAATCTAGAATATATTTTCGAATAATATTACTTACAGAAGTTTCTTTGAAAAGGACTTTGCATAGTTTATGAATCTATTGAAGATGAATAATCTTGTATAATTTTATTATCAACTGTGTATATAGTTAAAATAAATATTAAATAAAATATTTGACATAATATGAACTCTCTGATTGTACAAATATACTACAAAATTGCGAGTTCAACAATTTCAAGATAAAACTTAAACCAAATTTTGAAATAAATCTTAACACTTGAATAACAACAAAACAAGAAAACAACAATCAAAATTCTTAGAAAGTAGAAAACTAATTCAAAAGCATAAAGT